TTTTTTTTGCGCGCATGGTCAACGAACCACTGCTATGATAAAGACACTTGCGCCTCATTTGAGTTCCGCACTTGCGCCTGTTATAAAGCAGTTTCATTTTAATGAGTAGTCGCCTTTTTTTAATATCAGTATGCGTACATATATATTTTTATATCGTTTGTCTGTGATGTGCGCTTTTAACAAATTTCTTTTTAATTAAGAACTTTGCCAAGAGTACACTTCGGAGCCAGTTTACTCATCGGGCCTTGCTGAAGAATAACAAAACATTTGTGCCTGTTCAGCTTTCGCTTAGGTTTTTGTAATTCTTTTAGAACAGTTGGTATTCACTTGCCAACGACATCGGCCATGGAAAACTCAAACGAAAGTTAAATTCAGTTATTAGCGGCGATAGTCAGTAGAGTGTTGCATTAGACCGAAACAAACAGCTGTGGATATTTCTTCTTTTTTTTGAACAAATAAAACAAAAGAATGAGCAATAAATTGTGTTGCTTTAAGATGCTTCTTGTACCAAATTAAAAACGTCAAATACCTTTTTAATCAATTTAAAATGTCGACAGCAATATAATAGACACTGCACTTTTGCACCAAGAAAAAAATTCGAAACGTTTTGCAATTAAAAAAATGCTAAAATACAAATATATACCACCGCACAAACTTAGATCACAATCACAAAATCCCACACCGGAACCCACGCCTCGTCTCACCAATAAATCTGCACAATCCGTCTCACCGTATATTCTACAAAATTCCAGCGACTACTATGGCAGCGCCAATTCGCTTGCCAGCACCACTCACAACAACACACCGCATAGTCTGCAACGCAACGCGGAAGTACGCGGCTCCAACAACTCTCTGACCTCTTCAGCGGGCGGCACCATACGCTCGCGCAAAACTCGCAAAGCACCCGCGCCACCCACACCGCTCGCCAAGGAGCTCTTCCCTGCGCCTACATCCACCACACTGTCCACAACCGCTGGTGATCGACAGACGGATAGCTCGAAAGCATCTACACCCAGCTCGAGCACTGTTGGCACACCGAAGTTAGGTCGCAAAAAACGTCCTGCGCCAGCGCCACCAAAACCTGCGCGACTCGATCCCACTTTACTACAAGCGGAGCAGCAGCAACCACAACAACAGCAACAGCACACAAATGGCACGGCGTCAAAAAACTCGCTTAATTACCCTCTGCAAGGCGAACAATCCGACTCGAAGTTATCCGACGAAGAAAAAGCTTTGTTGGAGGGTAATCAGCTGTCAGTGGACAGCTTAAAGTTGCCAGTTGGCGCGGTGATCAACAGCACAGCTAGTCAGCGTAGTTCACGTCGTGTCATACCGCTCGACGCTAGCCTGCTGGAAGACGAACAGGACGCTGATGCGAGCGCTCAAACCAATAGCGACGGCGATGCCAGCGGCAAATGCGATGACGCCAAGCAAAAGCAACAGCTATTGCGCTATAGCGAGCAGGAGGAGTCGAATGTCGTGTATCGACGTGTCCTTGTGCCACCTAGCATGGAGACGCCGACGCGCGAATCGAATCCGCTGCTCGAAGGACTACACGATCGCCAGCTCGAGAAGTTGAAGGACAACAAGGAGGCGCAAAATCGCAATCGACAATCACAAATATCCGCTTCGTCCGGCGCAGAAGACTGCGACATGTCGTCGACGCCATACAACAAATCGGCGCATGGAAAGTGGAAGCGGCGCAAGGGCCCCGCGCCAGCGTTACCCATACCGCCGCGCAAGGTGTTGCAAATGTTGCCGCTACAAGAGATACGCCACGAATTGGATATCATTGAAGTGCAGCAGCAGGGCCTCGAAAAGCAGGGTGTTATATTAGAGAAAATGATACGTGATCGTTGCGAGGGACAAAATGGTGAACTATTGGGTACAAATGCTACAGCAGATGATGCGCCAGATGGCAAGAAGCCATCTAGCAGTGGTGGAGCGGAGCATGTGCAGAACTCGAAGGAGGTGGAAGATCTAATACTGCAACTATTCGAGCTGGTCAACGAGAAGAACGAACTGTTTCGCCGACAAGCCGAGCTAATGTATTTGTAAGTATTGAATATTAAAAAAAAAAATAATAATTATATTTTTAGCTAATCGCTCGTTAATCCAATAGAGCAATAGTTAATTTAATCAAAATGTCATGCAATCAATCAAGTATTTAATCGAAAAGCTAGCTTAATTAAGCGCTGATATAAGACAAGTTCAGCATGCCGTTAAAATTTTGCTTCAATCAATATTGCGTTTAGTGAAAAGAATACCTATGACCTACGCCAAAAATTCAATGGTTAGCGCACGGGTGACAAGCCATGTTTTTAGGTGAATAATCCGAGAAACTGAATTGCAAAACGGTGGCACGAAACCGATAAATTGATTTTTTACTGTCCTATGGGAGCAATTTCTATATATAAACATCGCAATGACCCGTGCCAGGGATCATCATTTCAAAAGATTTAATAACGAATATATGAAGTATATATCCTAGTGTAAAACACACGCAATAAAAAGCCACAGGATCTAAATGTACATTTGTATGAAGCTTAAGTCGCTATTTTGTAATCTTTATTTTCTCAATCAAAATAGTCCTTATTTTGTATTATTTGTTTTTTAGTTATTTATGGCCTTATAACAATTATATTTAATAATGTTTATTGAGCTTGAGGCCATGTGCAATTGATGTTTTTTTCATAAAAAACAGCCCAAACTCAATAAAAATAGTTGAATAGTTATTTTGTATTTTTTTGTAGATCATTTTTTAACCTATTTAAGTGTTTTATGATCTAAAAAACTAAATCTGAATATAGAGGATATAACACTGTGGAACAAAAATTAACTTTAGAGTGCGCATATACCAGGCTGTATAGCTGTTGGTCATAAGAAGAATGCCTCATACCCAGTTTTACTAGATCAATTCGTGTTCTCGAGAAAAAAAAATCACGATCCAAAAATCTGACTACCTATAGCGGCCAAACTTTTTCCTCCCCCCAAAGTTTTGAAAATTCATCGTTTTTTGTCCTATATTTGCTTTGTATGCTATTTTCACGAATATAGGCCAAAAAAGATAAATTAAAAAAAAAGTAAATTTGGCTGCTATATTCAGATTTTTGGATCATGCGCCTAAAAGATGCAGCGATTCCTGTTCTCAAGTTACATACCTGATGACAGTACGAATGGAAATTATAATAGCGAGGTTTTAGATTTTTAAACAATAATTTTATTATTGGGGCGTATTCTTGTTTTCGTACGAATCGAAAATCATGAAATTTTCCTATCATTTTCTATACAGAAATTTCAAATGTTCGGTTCGTACGAAAACAAGAATAGGCCCTATTGTGTTCCATAGTGTAATATGATCGAAAAAGTAAAAATTCAAAATGTATAGAAAAAATTAAATCATAAGATTTTATAGAAAAATAAATCCAAATTTAACGGTTAAATTGTGATTTTTATTATGAAGTTCATAACCTTTATGGTCGCTGCTATTTATCCCCTATGTATTATTAAGATTTAGCTTAGCTACATAAAATATAACAAATTTCTATCCTTTTCTCAACCAACAGACGTCGCCAGCATCGCTTGGAACAAGAGCAAGCCGATTTAGAATATGAAATACGCGTGCTAATGGCGCAACCCGAACGCAATAAAACCGATTCGGATAAGGCGCGCGAAGAAGCGCTCATTGCACGCCTGGTGGAGGTGGTACAATTACGGAATGAGGTGGTGGAATGTCTGGAAATGGACAGACTACGCGAAGCCGAAGAAGATTTGGTGAGTGTATTTCAAAATTTAACTCTCGCTTTATTTCTTAGTTAATAATTATCTGATAAAGAATATGAAATAATCCATTTTTCAATATTTCGCTTGCAGAGCATTAAACAACGCTTAGAAATGCATAGCGCGCAGCGTGAAGAAGACACCGACTCGCGAAAAATTACAGCTAAGCTTTCTAAGAAGGAGAAAAAGAAACAAAAGGAATCGAAAAAGCTAAGCAAAAGCAAGAAAATTGATGCAGACAAGGTTAGCTAAATCCCCACCCAATATTTAACTGCAAGTCACTAATGGTTTTTTTTTCGCACGCTATAGGATGCTGACGAATCTGAATTAAATATGGATAAGCAGAAATTGAAAAAGAAAAAGAAGAAATTTCTTTTTTAACCACCAGAATGGGACGCATTTCGGGTCGTTGAGTGTAGTAAATAGTAAGCAGTGTTAGAAAAGTTACAGTGACTTACAGCCGCCTTGTGATACATTTATGACGAAAATTAATTTGAGAAAAATATTGCATATAATTTGTAAAAGTATAGTTCCGAAAGAAAAGCAAAGTTCAAGCGTTTATTAACACGCTAGACATTGGACATTGCATACCCTTCTCGTTTACTAACAATTTAGGCATGCTTAGTGGGAAGCATTACATTGTCGCCGCATTTAAACGATTCCATGCTCGTACTTTTCATCTTACGCTAATTTCTCATATAATTACAATTTCATTGGCATTAAATTTAAAATATAAATCTAATTTGTAAAAAAATTTATATTTTAATTTTATTTTGATTTTCATTGCTCTATTGAAATCTCAGCATTTTCAGTTTAATTAAATAAGTACGTACACCTGTCTTCAGACTATTTTAATAATTATTAATTACAAATATGAATTACTAACAAAATTATTTTTAAACTTATTTACACACAGTGTTACGTTGATAATATTAGCTAAATATAAGCTTAAATATATATTAAAAAAAAGATATATTTTGCATGTATTATATACTGTCAAATTAAACCTTACATACATACAATCGTACATACCTATATGAACTTGCATTTTCTTTATATACTTAAAGTAATTTTATTAATTTGGCTTTTCTTTGTTAAGAGGCCAGTCATGCCGCTAAAGGATGTAAA